AACATAAATTTTGGGCTCAATTGCAGTAGTAAGTCAAGAACTACTTGTATCTGCTAGGCTAGAGAAAGAAGAGGAGAAAATTCTATGAGTCGCAGTGATAATCACTTGATGTATAGAAAAGAGAAAGGTTAGAAAGCAAAAGGCAATTGATTATACTAGGTTGTGTTGGAGAATTTCCCCGCTAAATTTCTCCCTACAATAACATGGTGCAGATACTGAAGCACACATTGTTTATTACAGCACAGTGGAAGTGGACAAAGCAAAAGCCTCAAATGAGATAGGGATGCGCCACGTCCTCTAGATGGAATTTTGCAAATTATAATGTACATACACAATTGAATACATAGCATGATTGATTGGTCATGTGATAAGTATAAGGTACATGTATAAGTACATGTGATAAGTATAAGGTGAAGTAACCAAGACAATGGCCCCTTAAGTTAGACTAAGGCTATGTTCTTTAAATAAAGTTGCTATTGATGTGTTACTTTGTCTAGATGTTTATCTCCTCAACTGGTCTTAATTCTCAGCATTATTGGCTCTTAGTGTTGTCATCATCGTTCTTGTGCCTAAATGTTCCTTCAGTTGAGCTGATCGTTTATGTATTCTGGAATAGTGGATTGGGAAAATGGATTAGAGAATAGTGTAATTTTGCTTGCCTCATCTAATGCCATCTTTTTGTTTCAGTTACAAGCAATGTACTTAATGCATAAAGTTAGCAGTGTGTTGTGTAAATAATGGATAAAGGTATAAAATAAAATATAGATTAGCATTATATTAAACATTTGGCCACAAGAGATTCAATTGCCAAAGGCAGTGCAAATATTTGGACCAGGATTATGTATCCTAGCAATAATCTTACCTCTGTGTTCCCTCCACACAAAAGACCTCTTAAATTCACTAGTTCTTATAAAATTCTCAATATCATAAGCAATTGATATCCAAAAGAAGCTCCCAGTAGGATCGCTGAGTCCAGTACCATTTTTTGTTTTCTGAAGCCTAGGGGAAGAGCATTGTTCAACTTCTCCTCCGCAGGACATACAAAAATAGCAGTTCCTTTAGTGAACTCTTGTAAGGATACAAGCGACAAAGTTACAGTCATACAGTCACAAGTGGGAGGGGATGGGTGATAAGGAGTGATGAGAAGTGTTGAGGGAATTATTTGTTTAGCAGAGTGATGGTGTTCGGGAAAAAACTGTCCTTGTGTCTAGTTGTTCTGGTGTGCAGTGTCCTATAGGGTCGTTTTGAGGTAGGAGTTGAAACAGTTTATGTCGGGGATGTGAGGGGTCTGTAAATATTTTCACAGCCCTCTTTTTGACTCGTACAGTATACAGGTCCTTGATTGAAGGCAGGTTGATAGTAATCGTTTTTTTCTGCAGTCCTAATTACTCTCTGAAGTCTGTGTCTGTCTTGTTGGGTTGCAGAACCAAACCAGACAGTTAGAGAGGTGCAGATGACAGACTCAGTAATTCCTCTGTAGAAATGTATCAGCAGCTCCTTGGGCAGTTTGAGCCTTCTGAGTATATACCTATATTGTGTTAAATCTAGCACACAAGTAATCTATGTTTAAGAATATGTAAGAATATATGACACTTGCAACTATAAGTGAAAAATAACAGTACTTAACAACTGTACAAGTTTTCCTTTTATGCAGTATTTTTAAGTCCCCATCTTTTTTCACAATAAAGCAATATAACCACGGTTCTTTTCCTAGCCTCACCCTTAAGGACTGGAGACTTTATTCCTCTTACCCAGACCTTAATGTCCTTTTACTTTACACTTAGCCCTATATGACCCTCTTCTTTCCAGCCCTTATATTTCAGTAGATGCAGCTGAAGTCACCTGGTTTATTGAGTTAGTTCTCTGGCTCTAAGACAGGGGTCCTCAAACTTGGCAACTTTAAGACTTGTGGACTTCAACTCCCAGAATTCCTCAGCCAGCTTTGCTGAGGAATTCTGCAGGAATTCTGGGAGTTGAAGTCCACAAGTCTTAAAGTTGCCAAGTTTGGAGACTTCTGCTCTTAAGACCTGTTCAGTTTATAGGAGGATGAAGATTATTACTTGTGGCCTGCTGGCTAAGTCTTTGGAAGGCTTGAAGACTCTGCCACTCCCTTCGCAACTGTAGTAGCTTCCAAATCTTTGTTCACTCCACTGCATCCACATACAACTCGCCGCTGTAGCCTTCCATCACCATATACTTCTTTCTCCCACAAACACCAACACTCTACCTTCAGCATTCCTTTATTTATCTCCCTGCAGTGCAGATGTGGTCTTTTGCTCTCTTGTATTGATAATAGTGCCATTGACATATCTACATAAAATGAATAATTACATAAAGATTTAAAGAAGAAATTCCACTGTTTTAACACGGTCATAAATGTATTTAAAAGCTGCCATTCATCATTTACATTTAGTATGATACTGGAAGACAGTAGATATATTTTCCCTGCTAATCCAATCACTGTTTCTCATTTATTTCATAGAGAAATAATTCAGGGATCTGGTTTAGAGCCAACACTCTCATTCTTTCTAGCTGTGCTTCAAATTGAAATCATGGTTCCCCCACATTCATGTGTTGCTTTATCTGCGCTTTCTGCTTAAATTAAATTTTGAATTTTAATGAATTTTAGTCTGATCACACTGCATTATTTCCAAAAGCATTTCAATGATTAAACATAGCTTTTTATAATTTGAAGTTTACTTTTAGGGATACAGCATATTTAATCAGTTGTCCAAGTATCCTTTAGGCAGGAAACAATCCCACCCTGTTTTCAATAAATGATTTCTCCTAACATAAAGGAAACTGCATCTGGGAAGTCCACACTGATTGCAGTAATGATTTATTTGATGTAGGTATGTCAGTGATGGCAACTTTTTTTTCTCTAGGTGATTAGCAAAGCTAAAATAAATACTGGAAATTAGTGCAGCTGATATTGGGCTCAGTTTTATTATGCTGAATATTGTTTTATACAGTTCCCTGGCATTTACATTAAAATATTGCTTTCATCTTATCCCTTACGGTGTTAAATAAGCTATTTGAAGATCTTGACAATTTCAGTCGGAGGTTCTACCATGAAGGCGGGCTGGAAATCCCAGCTCATTAGTCCAATCTGGCCACAAAGAAAATAAAACGTTGATGTCAACTTCTAACTTTTTTTGTTTACTCTGAAATCTGGAGTTACTGCCCCACTCCAACAAAGCAAGGGAATACTGATTTGTCAAGGGGTGTAAAGCAGGAAGAGATGGGCAGGAATTCATTAAATTTAGGATGTCTGAAAAAGTTGAAGCTAATGACATCTTTTTTTAATGTCCTAAACCAGGAGTGTCAAACTTGTGGCGTCACGGTGATGTCACGTGATGTACTGTGACTTTTTCCCCACTTCACTAAACCAGGTGGGGATGGGGCCAGCATGTGATGTACCTGGCCCATGGGCCACAAGTTTGATACCCCTGCCCTAAACTGATTGAAGAACCAGAGCAGGCAAGTGACAAAATATGCACAATGTCATCATTTATTTAGATACTCAATATAGTGTTACAGATATTGGGACATAAATATATAATCACAGTATTTACATGATGATGGTCCCCTCCAGCTTTGTTTTTAATTGAAGAATTAAGAAGCTGAAGAGGCTTCTTGGATGAGAAGTGAAACATCTTCAAAGAAAAATGATAAAGTCCAGTTGCCTCTTGAAAAAGCACTTTTGGGACAACCATGACCTGGATGACCAAGAATCTCCAATTACAATCTTTAACCTTCAGTGAAGAGACTTTCATCCTGTGGTGCATTGGTTCAGGTCAACTAATAGCTGTAGGGTTAATATTTGTACTATCAGTATTTTCAGATCTTAAGGTTTGTAGATTTTTTTTTATTTTTTGTCAAGGACTGCATAAATAAAAACATTTAGCTTTTGGTTTGTTTATTTTATTTTGATTTCTATAGCCGCCCATCTCAGCAAACGATTCTGAGTGGTTCCCCCACCCCCATTATTAGTATTAGTATTTGGGTGGAAGACTGCAAACTACAGTAGGAGGGGTGTGTGTGTGTGTGTGTGTGTGTGTGTGTGTGTGTATCAGGTATGTCAAACTCAATTTCATTGAGGGCTGCATCAGGATTGTGTTTGACTTAGGGGGGCTGAGGTGAGCATGGCCATGGTGGGTGTGGCCATGGTGGGCATGGCCAGCTCTATGTTACTTGTGTCAAGGGCGCCTGTGGCAGCCCAAGCACTCTGCTAGCAAAAATGGTCTCCCGAGCTCCATTTTCGGCTTCCTGCAACCCTCTGCAAAAATGGAGCTTGGGAGGGTCGCATGTGGCCCTCATCAGTTCCACTTTCAGCTGCGACTGCCTCCTGAAACTCTGCCAGCAAAAACAGAACTCGGGAGGGCTGCAGAGGCACCGCAGGCCGGTCCTTCACTGTTTCCAGGGCAACCCGGAGGGTCAGATCTAAGCACTCTTTGAGTTTGACACCCCTGATAGAGAGAGAGATGTACAATCTCAAGTGAAGGCCGTAGAAAATCATTTTGGTATTGTTCCCAAGAAAGCAGCATGGATGTATTAATGAACTCATTAACAGCTGAGCTTGTCTTGAAGGAGACCTTTTACTTTATTATGTCATGTAATCAGATTCTGGTTCACTAATTCACAGTTCTTACCTTCAAACAGAGAAGAAGCAGAAAAACCTGAAATATTTTAGAAAGACACAATATATTTAATGGTAAGCAAAAGTAGCTGAAAACTACAATAAAGAGAATCAGAATAACACCCAGGTTTCTGTGTACGGAAAGCAATGAACCGAGATCAAAGATACCATATATCGTTGTTTTTATACATTTCTAAATATTAAAGACACTTTATTAATTTATAACTTATGAATGAATGGCATTTCAAAAAAAAATCAGATAACAATGCTTCTGGCTTCTACAGTTTTCAGAAAATAAAATCGTCTCTTTTTTTTCCAAGATAAACATTTCTCAGCACACCTATGTTTTAACTCTCTGCAGAGAATGATGCGGTCCTCAATTTTCCATATGTTTATCCTGAGCATGGTAGCTGTGGATGTCATTGTTGCTGCTAGCAACTATTACAAGGGAGAAACTTTCAAAAGCCAATATGATGAGTTCTACCTCGCAGAGGTGAGTCTTCCTTTCATTATTGATTTTTATTGAACCAAGGAAATTTCCTAACAGTGAGAGCAATTAATCAATGGAATAACTTGCCTTCAGAAGTTGTGGCTGCTCAATCACTGGAGGCTTTTACAAAGAGACTGGACACCCATTTGTCTGAAATGATACAGGATCTCTCCTGTTCAAGCAAGGGGTTGGATTAGAAGACCTCTAAGCAGTGGTGAGATTCAAAAAAATTTACTACCAGTTCTGTGGGCGTGGCAGGGGAAGGATGCTGTAAAATTTCCATTCCCTCCCCACTCCTGGGAAAAGGTTACTGCAAAATCCCCATTCCCTCCCCACCCCACTAACCTACTTTCCAGCTCCATTCTCCTGTGCAGGGCAACCAAAGAAGACCCAGCCTATCGGCTGGGACTTGGGAGGCAGAGAATAGATATGCGTGGGGCCAGTGGTATTTGCCAGTTCTCCAAACTACTCAAAATTTCCGCTATCGGTTCTCCAGAACTGGTCAGAACCTGCTGAATACCACCTCAGCCTTCAAGGTCTCTTCCAACTCTATTCTATGTTCTATGAAACAAATCAACATTATTGTAGAGGCCTGACCAAGATAAGACTGATTTAATATGATTTAAATGGTGATGAGGCTGGGATGGTTGTTTCAGGTTACATCTTTTTAACTTTAATGCAACCATAAAGCTTTTTAACTGATATTGATTTAATTATTTACCATCAAGTTGTTTTTGACTCCTGATGGCCACATAGATGTTCTCTATGATGATCTGTCACTAACTTTTCAAGGTTTGTATTCATCACCACTATAACTGAGTTTATCCACCTTGCTGCTGATTATTCTTTTCTTCTCTTTCCTTCTATCTTTTCCAACACTAGAGCTTTCTCCTGGTTTTTGCATAATGTCTCTAAAATAGGATAATTTGAGCCTGGTCATTTGGGTCTTGACTGAGAACTTTGGATTGATTTGTTGGATAATCAATTTGTTTTCTTAGCTGTCACAGTATTCTCATAAATCTTCTCCAATATTAATGTTCAAAAGCATATCCATTAATATCAAATGCCAAATTTATGATTATACCCCATTGTATGTATTTAAGAGTGTAAGGGAGGGTTAACATAGGTTTGTGTTGTTTAGATGTTGATATTTAATTCAAGAAAATGTTTTGCACGAGCTGTATGTGTTTATCTTGCCTTTGACAAAAACCTCTCAAGCAAGTTTCAAAAAGGGAAAGTGTTCTGTCCCACCTGTATCCACAGGTGAGAATCTCAAGTTACAGAGTTCAAATACTTTACGCAAACAAAACCAGAGACAGAAGATTCAATTGCTCTGTTATCACAGTCCTTTGGCAATCCTCCTAGAATCTGTCTGGCAATTCTGTATAGTCCGTAAATCACAACGCTGTAGTCAGACGCACTTCTTTCCAAGGCAAAATCCACTTTGTTTCCAGCAAAGATTACGAACTCGTACACTCCCTTATATCCTCTGAGAGAGGGCATGTCAGTCTCATTAATTAATCCTTTGCTGGACGTCTCAATCTTCTCCTAGTTCTGGCATCCAGCCAGCATCCGGCAGTTTCATCACCGCTTGAAGCCTCTGACACACTTTCCTGTTTAACAGTTAACACCTGAAGTGCAATCAGGGAAGTAGATTCAGGGGAGGGAGTGGACTCTGAAACCTCCAATAAATCAGGCTCATATCTCAGATCCAACTCCTCTCCCTCTACTTGACTCCCCTCTAAGTCACTTAATAATGCAGGCTCGAATCTCAGTGGCAGATCTTCTTCATCGCTCGAACCCACATCTGCTGACTGATCAGGTTCAAATCTCGGAGTCATAACAGGAAAGTATGCAGGGCAAGCTTGGCCAATAGGCCAAAAGGAATTTCCCTTACAGTATGCCTTGTTTTAAGAAAGATATTGGTAACTATGTAGCAGATATTTTTCTTCCGCTCTGCAATTCTGACAGTTAGGCATGAATGTTTTCAGGATTAAAGGAAATACTTTCTTGCAACTACTCGGCTTTTGATAAGCTGATACATCCAGTTTACCACTTGCTGCAATACAACACACAGTCTTCCAGACTTTTTCCTCATATCAGAGATTTGATCTGAATCTGAGGTCTTTTTCTTGGGAAAGTTACTATGCCCATGAGCACAAAATTTCTCATGCCATGTGATTACTGACATATAGTAATTCTGAGAAATTCTACTTCGGCTCTTTTTGTCCTTTTCTGTTCCCACAGGTGGCCTTTACAGTCCTCTTTGATCTGGAAGCTCTTCTAAAGATCTGGTGCCTGGGATTTACTGGATACATCAGCTCATCTCTTCATAAATTTGAACTGCTGCTGGTTATGGGAACTACTCTTCACATTTATCCAGTCCTCTACCATTCACAGTTTACGTACTTTCAGGTAGAGTGCTAATTTCAACTTCAGTATACCAGGGGAAAATATTATTTGAAATCACTCCCAAAAGTGTCTAAATATGTTTATTAATTTATTTTGTGGCTTTATTATTTTCATTTTCAGCATGATGCTCACCTGTCAAGCACCTGTTGAGTAGATATTTCTTATTGAATCATTGCATTTGCTGTGGCAATACAATTTTTTATAATTTAATCCAAAGCACTGTAAAATTCATATGCCACCTTTCAATTTCATTTTCAACTTCAACCATAGCTTTTCAGATAGGTAAGTCCTCCAAATATCGATGTACTAAAATGCAAAAATATAATATAAAATGCAAAAATATAATATAAAAGCCAATAATTAAAATCATTAAATAAGATTTCTTTTTCTGCTCCTTTTGAGCTTTACTATTCTTCCATTGCCTGCATGGCTTGTTCCATCCAGGTTTCGTGCTCTTCTTCCACAGCTGACACAGGCTGCATCTCAAAAAAGATTCCCAAGCTTTCTGTAACTGGTGCCCGAATTGGAGGTGCTGGTCTGAGTGCACAGGGTCCATAAAGTCCCTCATGGCGAGGAAGAACTCTGATCCCAAACTTAGGTTGAAGAGTGTGATGACCCAGGATGTGGCACAAAGGCAACCCAGTCAGATAATTAGTAGGAATCCCTTTATTAGCTCCAACTTTGCCAACATACTGGTTACCTTCTGCCTGGAGAAAAACTCTCCCAGGAACAGCCTTTGGTGGCTGCAGAGAATCAAATCCAAGACATGGTCAACAAAAACTATAACTATAAGTCCAATCAAGGCAAAATGAGGTAATTAGTTCAGCAGGTTAGGAGCAAGAATTCCAGATGTGAAGGCATGACAATAACTCAACACAGTTGGGAAGACACCAGGAACACAGATAACTAAAGTCAACACAAAATAAACTCACGTTTGCTCCTAGCAGCTGCTGCACTCAGCATGCATCTCTTTTAAACTTTCTTCCCAGGTGTGGCTAATGAAGGGAATCGGGGCCCTTTCCTCCCCCGTAAGCCACGCAACCCAGATTGCTGTCTTCTCCATTCCTCCCTGCATGCCCTAGAATGAAGACGGGGTAGGCCTGGGTCTTCCTCTGGACTCCCTCTCCCTTGTTCTATCTCTCGCCTGCTCTGGACTTTGCCCTTCCCCAGCCTCCTCCACAGCCAACGGAGCCACACTCCTACTCCCTGTCAGCTGTTCATCTTCCTCCTCAGATTCAGACTCCAATAGGGGCATGACAAAGGAGCAGGTGTTTCTTCTCATGGGTTCTTTGGGTTATTGGCTGGATGGTTTGGATGGATTATCCACCACGCTTTGACATCTCCTGTCAGCTGAAGGCTGTCAACCCAGAAGCAGGCCGGAATTTCTTTCCTAACACTTGCTGATCTGCAACTAACGCCATCACTGGTTGAAGGATTTGTTGTTTTGTCCCGGTATCTCTGGGAATATCAATCATTATGTTCAACTCCACTCGGCCATTTTGTTCCTGGCACCATTTGGTGTCAGTGGCAGAGTCCATTTTGTTCACCTGGCTCATTTCTCTGGACATGTTCTTCACTGTTGTGGAAGGACCAGAAGCAGTTCCAGATGATCCCACAGTTGTAGCACTCACTTCTGAAGGAGATTTTGATGATGATCAGTTCTCTTCTCAGATGACCCGCCTGCCTTGTGAGATTTGTGAGGCTTTAATTAAGATAATAGCCCTACGTTGCTGATTTCCTTCCAGTGTGTTCTCTGCAGACCCTGGAGCTCACCTCTCTAGCCAGAGGTGATGAATCAAGAAACTGCAACTGGATCAGAAACATAATCACTTCTGAACTTCCCCACTGGTTTAGGATCTTCACCTCTCTTACAGCAAGCAGGAATGACCTCTTCAGCTGGGGACACTGCAACAATTCTCCCTCCTTTTCCCTCTGAGTTGTTGTGTCCGGTACTTCTGCTGCCCTGTACTTTGATTCCATTATCTCTTCTGGAGACTACATCTCCCATAAGGCACTGCAGAATCGTCTTCCTGTTCAGAGTTTAATGGATCAAATTCCAGCCCCAGGGTGACAGATTATTTGGGGCCTCTCTGGAAGAAATTTTTTTACATATTCTCAACTCCAATATGGCATTGAGATTTCCATATAATAATCAGGCTTTTATTTATTATAAGATACATCAAAGACTCTTACTTTTGGATCCTTAAGAGACTTTAAAGTTTTGCAGGATTTAAAGGCATTAATTGATTCATCACCGAAATTCTGATGATCAATTAGATCCTTGGATTTAAAAAGGTATTCTGATTAAGACATACCTTTTTAAATAATTTATAACCCATTTAGTATTTTATTTTAAGGTTCACCACAACCTTTAAAGGTGTAATCTTTAAAATGACCATTTAAGATTTGAAAATCAAAGATTTTTCATAAATCAGTGGCTGAAAGTGTTGTATTCTCAAACTAGTCAAAATATAGATCTAAGGACACCACAAAATGAAGAATGAAATATCTTCTAATACTTGCTTCACAGTCATCTTTATTAAATTCTCCTGGGTAAAGTTACATAGGATTTTTAGGCAAAGTATCCGCATGTTTTTAATTTTAAGTTACTTTCTGCAGTCTAGGCTTCCTATCCCCAAATGATAGATGGAGGACTTTGAAAAATGCATTGGCTTTACTACATGAGTTATCCCTTCCGTCCATTGTGGCCAACATTCATTTCCCCAAAGCCCACAGATAGATTTTAAACTGTAATTACACACACACACACACACACACACACACAAGCAAATAAACAGCCATAAATCTTGCATGCAAATGAAGATCCAAGCTTGCCCTTGATAGATGACTGTTAGATCTAGATTTGATTAAAATTTTAACATTTTAATTATAGAACATTGAAGTCTTCCTGGAAAGAGATAACAGAAAAGCCAAATTAATTCAATGGACAGGCTATCTAGTAGCCTATGGATATTCAAAAGTCTGTGGATGCTAGAAGAACAAGGGGAATGAAAATATAAATACATCAGAAATTATTACAGAGAGTCCTCAATTTTCAAATAGTTGTTTAGCGGCCATTTAAATTTATGCCGAAAAAATGACTTATGAACAGGCTTCACGCTTAGCAAACATTGCAGGGCTCCACAGTCACATGATTGTGATCTGGTTGCTTGGCAACTGGCATTTATTTACAATGGAATACTAGTCCTTAGATTACATGATTGCCATTTGCCAGTTTCTCAGATGACTTCTGACAAAGAGGTGGGTGAACCCATTTAATGACCATAGTGATTTGTTTAATGACTATGGCAAAAAAGGTCGTAAAATCAGGCACAGTCATGTGATGACTCACTTAATGACCTCATCATTTAGCAACAGGTTCCAGTTCCAGTTGTGGTCCTATGTTGGGAACTACCTGTATTGCAGCCAAAATCACAAAATAAAAAAACAACTGTTTCCCTTCACAATGATCATCATCAATGTTTTGAATAATGTTGGGATTATCCTTTCTAATAAAGTGTGTGTGTCAGTATACATATATTCATACACACACACACACACACACACACACACACACACACACTACAAAAACAAAACCTTTTGTGGTATAAATTGAAGGAACCAATCATCTCACATTATTGATGGTAATATAAGTATGTAGCTTTTCTCAGGTATACAAACACTCTGATAGACTCATGTATGATCTTATATATAGAACAAGAAACATTTATCATATGTTGGAGAGGGAGAAATCTCCAGAATTGATTACAGTTTTCTGCCTCTAATCCTCAAAAAAATTCAAACCATGCTCAAACAAAAATACAGACTTGTTAAGGATACTCTTTGAAGTCTGTCGGGTTTCTCTCTTGATGAAAACAAATGGGCTTGTAAACTGGTTTCTGGAAAGATCAATTGGATACTTAAATGTCAGTTAAGCTAATGTAGGTATGGGTGGAAGCACCCACAATAAAAACATTTAGCAGAACACTAGTCAAGCATGAAACAAGTAACTTGTTTTTAACATTTCAAGAAAAACTGGATAGTTTCATCTATTCTGATTAAAATATATACACAGATATTGATTGAGTGAGTGAGCGAATGATTAAAAGTCAATTAGCATAGGAGGCATGATACTTAGTGTGACATGGAGATACTATTTTCAGGGTGCAAATTATCCCTTATATACTGTACCTCACTTTCTCAGAATGGGGAACAACAGAGCTTCATCCCTTTGGTGAAGACTGGGATTTAGGAATGTTTAAGAGGAATTTTTTTGTTCCTATTGTAAACCTTTCTCGATTCTCCCATATGTAATGTATTTTTCTGTTAGTTTCTTTACAAAAAATGGGAATGTTTGATCCCATCTGCTCTATTTACTCTGATATCATCAGACATATTGCAGACATACCCCCTCTGTTCCTTCAAAGCAAATGATAATGTAAGAGACAGACAGACATATGGGAATTTGAAGAGATTCATGGGTAGACAACAAGATGTCCTCTGAATGTTAGACTTTTCATTTTTTTGGTTATGCTGACTAAGGCTGAAGGGAACTTATGATGAAAACATTATATTGCAAACACTTTAGTTTTCAATTAAGAATCAAGATAGACTTGCAAAAAAATGAAGACTTCTCATAACTCTTGTAACAATAACTCTTGAAATATTTCAGTTTAACCTACAGCTCTAACCTAGATTTTAATTGCTCTCTGTTTCTGGAAGTTACTATTGGCTATTTAATTTGGTGTTTCTTCTTTCATGTTTGTATTGATTATAAGGCATCATATTCAGATGCAAATGAAAGAGAGAGAGAGAAATGAACTCTAATCCACCATAAATTTCAGTTTTATGAATATGAAAATACTGAAACTTTGGCCATTAATTTGACATTATATAAAATAATACATTTAATGAATATAGATCTTATGACTTAGGAAAGTGTTTAAATTAGATGATTTGGAAAGCCTAATAGCATGAACAGAGTACCCCTTCCCTAAGCATTCAAGTGGTCACAATCTTTGGAAGCGTCATAAAATTGTTTCAAAGTCCAGTTGTCACTCCCAAGAATTCCAGTCAAGTGAAACAGCAGAACAGACAAAAGACATGTGCAAAGTGCCAAGGAAGCTTCAAATCAGCTGAGCAAACCTTTCAAAGGGAAGAATTTCTTAAATGATTTGCTCTTCTTTTGAATTTTTTGCACATTCCTAACACTGTAGTAATCATTCCATCTACTGTATTTTTCAAGCTATATGCCATAAGTGTTACTAGAAAAAGAACCAATTTGTTGCATTTGTCAATCTGCAGCTACATCAATTAAAAAAACATTTCCTTTCTCTCTGCAGGTACTTAGAGTTGTTCGACTTATCAAGATTTCTCCTGCCCTGGAAGATTTTGTATACAAGATTTTTGGACCTGGAAAAAAGCTTGGCAGTTTAGTTGTATTTACTGCCAGTCTATTAATTGTAATGTCAGCCATTAGTTTGCAAATGTTCTGTTTCGTAGAAGAACTAGACAGATTTACCACATTTCCAAGGGTAAGTTGAAAATTCCATTGCAACCTGTCAGATTATGGCTGTTTAAAAGTGGCTTTATACTTTAATCTTATTAATGCCAGTTCCTAGGCTTCTGTGAGAAAAGATTTTGTTGCGAGATCATTCTACCTGAATTCTTAGTTCAACGGTAATCCTCCACTGTCACACAAGAAGAGCTGTGTCAGAACACTATATATTATGGCAGGGTAAGAACCCACTGTAATACCCAGCAAACTAAACAACTGGAGAGAAGGTATCTACATGAACAACTCAGGCAGAATGGGTACCCACAAGCATTTATCACAAGATGCCTTAGCAACACACAAAGGAGAGAAAGGAACAAAGAAAGAAGGTAAAAGACCAAATATATGGCACACTCCTGCATACATCAAAAACATTTCAGAAGCAATAGAATCTAGCTTTCAAAATCTGCAAGTGGGCATCACACACCATCTAGAGGCTTCCATATGAGGACAAATCATGTATTGCAAATATCTCTTGGAGGTAGGTAACACTTCTAATTTAACCTACCAGATCCCCTGCATGGATTGCCTCTCTAATTATGTAGGACACTCGGGGAGGAAGCTAACCACTAGACTGCAAGAACACAAGCAAGTGGTCAGAGAAGGAGACCCAAATTTATTGGTAGCCTCACATTGCAGTGAACAAGAACATATATTCAGTTTTGCAGCTACTAATATTGTTGGCCATGCAGGTACAAAGACAGCCATGGAAATGATTAAAGCCTGGGAAACAGCTCCCTGGTCAGTCAGCAGGAGTGCTGGTTTACCACTGATCAGATGCTTCGGAGCCAAGGGCTTGGCAGCACAAGGAAACAACAGCCAATGATCAGTCATCAACAGATCAATCAACCAATAAGAAGGTACCACATAAATATGAGTGACAGAATAGCCAAAAGTACATATTCCAGTAAAGAGAAATTTCCTGAAAACGGGTTCCATCACAAGCCTGAAAGCTCAGAAGAAAAAACATCTGATCTTGGTGACCAACTCAGATTTAATCTTGCAACATTATCCTGGGAGACGTATATTTGCCTTTATTCATAATGTAGCAACAGATCATTATAGCGTTTTTGTGGCCCAGATAGGTTTTACATTTAGTTTACCATTTGTAATGTTTTACATTCCTAGAGTGTTGGGGTGTGAATATGGCATAGCTAAACATAGCCTGTCCCAAAGGTGTTTTTTCAAGAGACAACTGGATTTCTGGTTTTTCTTTGAAGACATTTCATTTCTCATCCAAGAAGCTCTTCAAAGAAAAAGCAGAAAGTCCAGTTGCCTCTTGAAAAATCACCTTTGAGACAACCATGATCTGGATGACTGAGAATCTCCAGAGACATTAAACATTGTCTCTTTTTCTTTTTTATTTCTGAAGGTTTTTGTTATTATGCATTTTGCTCTTTTTTTTTTTTTGGTAAAAAACAGCTGTGCTGTCCTGTGGAAACAGTTCTGTTCTTTGGCCCTACAAAAAATGTCTTACAAAAAATATGCCACCAAAAATTAATAGTTTTGTATCACATATTGAGTGCTCTGGGCTTCATATGTTTCTGATACCTATAGTAGAATACCTACATTGCGCATAATTGATTTTAGATTTCTGGTTTCTTGATTGACAACAGTGTGGATAGGTTGTTTCTGCTAAAACCTGTAGTGGCTAATTCTCAATCAAAAATATCAGTACTAAATGCTGACTACTAATATTCCACAAGTGGCTTGAGAAATATGTAAAAGGTGATAATGTAAGATTGATCCAGTTCACTGTTTAAAATGATGATTCTGGACTTAAATATGCCTTAGGTAATATGTGCAAAGCAGAATAAAATGGCAACTCACTTGGTAATTGGTTTGGTGTACTTGTTTGAATGAATATAATGCCTTTTTCTTAATCTGCTAGTCTAAATTTATGTAAATTAAAGGTACAAATAATGTAATAGTGTTAATGAGCCAAAGTCAGCTTCCTATTATTGCTATTTCTTATGTCTACACTGATGATTAGGTCAATTAAATTGAAATAAATAAGAGCATGTGATAGTTATATGTAAGAATTGATAGTAACTATTTTTAATTAGAGCAGAAAGATAAGCAAAATATATCATTCCTACAATTCTGAATAAAGGAAAGTATCTTTTCCCATTTAAAAACTAATATATCGGTATAATTGAACCTAAAAATGCAAGTTTGCCCTTTTGTTGCTTTAGGAAAACGATCACTTCTAGACTGAAAAGTACAATTGTTTTCAACAAATTCTCTACCTTTATTAAACTAAAATCAATGTACATGGCAAATTACTAGGTAAATATAGATAAAAAGAAAGATCTTATCTAAAGAAACTTCCAAATAAAATTTCAAAATAATTAACTAAAACTACAGAATTTTTCCCCTAAAGATATGAAGCACGTGAATACAATTTTGTCGTTGCAGAATTGTCCCTAATCTTGATATATAGATTGGAAAATTCTTTAAACTTTAAAATCACATTTGAGGGAGTTTTTAACTGTTTTTATTTTTATTTTATTGTTTTGCTTTATTTTATTCAAAAGATTAAGAACCAAAATCCAAAAGAAAAGAATTGAACAGAAACAGAACAAAACTGAACAAAAGCATTGAAAAATGTGAATTTAAAAAATGCAAAAGACAAAAAAAACATTCTCCCCTAGTTGAGCGCTGAAAAATCTATTTCAAGCTTCTCCCCTTGCAAAGCAAGTCCAGAATTTATAAGGTTTTGCATCTATTTGCACCCAATTGACCTGTCATGCGTTACATATGTGAAAGGTAAAATAATTAACATTTTGAGGCCTTTGAGACTAACATTGTAGTCACAAACACCTTCTGATTAGACTTACCTACTTACTTTTAAGTCTCTTTAATTTCTCTTTTAGCTTGAAAAATCGTCACATGGGAATTTCTTTCCTTCTATTTCAGCGGAAGATTAGCAAATGTGCTGGAGTATAGTTTTTGTTTGTTTTTTAATCTCATTTACACCTTCCCCTTTTGCAGAATAAAGGTTACATTTAAACCATCCAATGAATAGAAAATTAATATAATAATGATGAGGTGTGGCAGCAGGATACTAAAACAAAATATGACATAATTCAGAAATGATATATCCCGTCATTACTTTAAAATGGTGGTGTTTTGTTAATATCCTCCAGGCTATTTATTCTAATGCCAATACTGTATCACTATGCCTTTTGCATTTCCCTACTTTTCCAAAAAGCTGTTGGGAATTCTTTTATGATTGGTTTTTAATGCAACCTGTTTCTTTTAATTTTTAAAAAACACTATTTTTGTTATCCTACTTTGTACAGTTAAAGTGCCTATAACAGAGAAATCTACGTATTTTAAAAGAAATACAGCACTAGGCGAATGGAGAAGAGGAATTCTGCTGATTTGTGTTCCATAAATGTGAAAATAGAACTAAGGTTCACACTAAAAATGGTTTTCCAGATTTTTCTTTGAGTTCAGTTCTGGGCCCGGTTCAGAGTAACATCCTCCTTGTTTAATAGATTATAGCAGTGTATGGACTTCAGCTCCCAGAATTTTCCAGCCAACACGGAGGTTGAGAAACACAGGAATACAGAGATAGAAAATTGCCACCTAGAATCTTCTGAAATGGGTAGCCATATTAAATCAAATAATGAAAGTTCCTATAGGTCTTGACATATGAAACCAATGGCAGCAGAAGACTTTGCATATCCAAACACTGATTATGGACATATGTTTTGGGTTCCTAGGTGAAAGGGAAGAGGTAGACAAGCATTTTAGCTGGGCACAGTACCATTCCCCTCTAAGTAAAAGCAACGCTAAAATGGTCAGCATGTTCTGACATGGAATCTTTTGCTCAAGATGCCAAAAGACTTAGCAGAAAGAACAATTGATTATCACATCCATTAATGTTGCTGAAGTACAAGCCCTGTAGGAACATTATATGTTTTTAAGAGAAAAAGAGAAAAGGCAGACCACTTTTATTTCCTAATGCCTCTAAATTCCATGCTTTCACATGATATCTTGACAAACACGACATAAATAGAAGTTTATGGTTGCCATGACTACCATCTACAGCATTCTCTCTCCCATTTTTGTCAGACAGGCAAGGTCTGTTATATTTTGTTTTCAGGTGAACGGTGGCTTCTAAGATCCAATTTTGTAATGGGTGGTATTTCTTCTTTTCCTTTTTCCTTGTTTTTTTAATTGTTGAAGTTGTGGTTGAACTGTCTTATAAACTTTGTATTTTTGTGCATTGTGCTTTTTGTGTTGGGGAAGAATTTTTTATGGGGCATAGTTACTTCAGGAAATAGAGATTAATATTCCAATGAATATCACACTCAAAGATGTGAAGGCTTCCACACAAAAAAGAGAAAAAAATATTTTAAAAAATGAGATTTTTTTTTTATTTTTTTTCCAGAGGCATCTTTTTTAGAAAATGGAAATAATATATTTTAAAAGAGCCATTTTTAATATCCTTGTTTTAAACATGAAATGGTTAAAATATGAAATAAAGGTGTGAAATATATACCAAATATAAAAATAGACCACAGAGATCAAGAAACCTGTCTCAAGACAGGCAAATATCCATTCTTCAGGAATTCATGAAAATTATAAAATGTTATAAAAAATGCAGGATCCAAGATTGAAACTTCTGATAGTGCTTTAAAGTCAAAAAATGAGACTGACTAGACTAGTCTACAAATTTTGGGAAATTATCAACCTCTGAGATAAAATGTGTTCATTTTACATATTTTGATTAGATAAATTAGAAAACAGGTTATAAAGGTGCTGGTTGGTAAACATGTTAAGATATTTCACAATAAAGATTTATACACAGGCGAGTATAGTTGCCTACAAGCGAGGGAGGTGTCTTATGATCATGATGCCTCATAACTTCTTGACAAAATATGGTAGAACAATGAAAATGGTACCACATGGAAGTATATAAATTTATCTTCACTTTGAGAACAGCAAGGCAGATAACTATGAAAAACAGGTGGAAAATTTGTTTAGACCCTAAACACTTTCGACCTACTTGGTTCAAACATGTCACTGAAAATTCACTTCTTACACTCGCATTTAGACTATTTCTCTTTGAACTGTGGGGCAGTGAGTGATGAGCATGGGAAGAGATTCCAGCAGGATATTGCAAGCATGGAGAAAAGTTAACAAGGGAAATTGAGTCTATCCATGTTTGCCGATTACTGCTGGAATCTCCCCAGGGATGATTCTACTGCAGTTCACAAGAGAAAAGCCAAAAAGTGCAGTTTAAGCACAGAATAAAAATGGAACCTTGTTATTTAATCTGATGTTACAGCTTGTCAGTTTTTCATGCAAAAAGCATGAAAATATTACATGAAAAACCAATAAATGAATGGAAAGTTGTGCTTTCGGTATCAATCAAAAATTAAATTTATAGTGATTGGTGTGGCACCATTCTCATTGCTATGTCACATTTTGCAGAAAAGTTATGGAGCATATCACACATCCCCTTTGTAATTTTGAATTATTTTGATGCCATTTTTGACCTGAAACTGTCTCTTGAAAACTGGAGGCAATTAATGCTCAGGACTTAATTTTCCTTTATTAGTGACCCAATTCTGATAAAATTAAGCTACTTTCATTTCCGAGGCTTTCTCTTGTAGACCAGTGTAATGTTTAATATGATGGGAATACATTCTGCTTTTTCTCCTCCTCATTTCTTTCCTGTATATTAATGTTTTTTGAATCTGTTTGATGTGATCAAAGATGGATGTCAAAAAGTCAAGATGGCGGTCACAACCATATAATCAAAGTCCTGGGGCTTTTGTACATGCATTACAAGAAACAACTTATTTGATAACATAGCTGTGGCCACCATCTTGACTTTTTGACCCCATTCTTCAGAAAGTGATCCAAAGACTGAGGAAAGAAATCTGAAGATATCAGGACATGAAAAGTTCTGTTCTAGCTTTTCCATGATCTGATATTTGACAAGTCATACATTGCAGCTAAAAGTAAAAAAGTTGCTGCTGAATTGCCTTGATGAGTAGCATTAACTAAATTTAAAAACAATTAGAATAAATCTGAAGGGTTCTTCACACACATATACTGTACACACACAATTTAATTAAAAAACCCTCTCTACTTGCATAAATATCCAGGTCTCATTTTCACAGCTGTTGGGTTGTTCTGACAGCAAGATAGCTACATCTCTGATTCCTTTTAGCATAACTGGTGGGAAGTATATCTTTCAACTAAAAATATCTTGCTCTGAAAGAAAGATTGCTACTTTCCAAAGTTAAAATCACTGTATACAGCCATATTATCTTAAAACTAATGTTTTTCCAATGCAGAGGTTGTCACTTACAGGAAACATCTTGGAACACTGTTAGAATGAATCATATTATAAATGGTGGTTTTGATTTTCTTAGACAAATAGATGATAGTTTTTTTAAAAAAGTTCAAAAATAAAAACGCAGCTCCATTTAATACCAGAACCAGATAGTTACCACCAAGAAATAATGTAAACAATATTTGTCATCTTTTCTATGTTTTACTAAGTGAGATATTCAGCTCTGTAGAAGAGTTTAGACTACAGTATGTTGGTTTGATCGTGAATCATATTATGATCATATGATTCAAATGCAGATACAGAATTGAGTTCAGGCTTAGTGCTTAACATCTGAATGGAGGTTTTATGATCATCTGGATATGGTACCTGTGATATATAAATGTGAGAATAGAAATTGGAGAATTTTTTTTCCTATCCAAGGAATAAGTACATGGAGTCTGCTGGTGAAATATAGTCTGCTAGCTATAGATACCTTTAGGAACGGCACTAAACTGCTTTCACAACTGTACTTCTGAAATTCAGTGGTGCTCCTTAGATTTATCGAAGGTTTATTGCTGTGATGTGGTTTGGGTTAAAAAACATGGTAAAGATACGACGTTTTGGGAGATATTGGGAGAAACTCCAGCTAATAAATAGAAACATGCGGTTTCTACCAATAATACCATCAGAGCAGCATCCAAATACTTGTTATTAACCGGATTGTCCCTACAATCACAAGCCTGGTGCCATTATGGAGCTTTTTTGCTTATTTCAGGGAAGGATATCTTAACTGGCTTGTTTGTTTATGTTTCAATTTAGGCTTTCATGTCAATGTTTCAAATTCTGACACAGGAAGGATGGGTGGATGTCATGGATCAGACTCTCAATGCTGTGGGCCACATGTGGGCACCAGTTGTTGCTATTTATTTCATTTTATATCATCTTTTTGCTACCCTGGTAAGTTGCATGCGCCATATGCATAACATGTATCAATTTTTGAAACATATTTTATGCTGACTCATGAGTGCAAAACTAGCTCATCTAGTGTAACATTGTCAGTCAACCTCCAAAGAAGCTAAATTGGTGTTTTATTACTTTAGGTTACATGCTAAGTAGATGGACTTGCAGGGCAGAAACAGTTCAAAGGAAGAATGGTTCTTTTCTCTGTTCCTCTATTGATCAGTTCTTCCAGGAACAACAGGAACTTCCTTTTGATTGATACATGCTTTTCTCTATTTATAGGATAGGATAGGATAGGATAGGATAGGATAGGATAGAATAGAATAGAATAGAATAGAATAGAATAGAATAGCTTTATTGGCCAAGTGTGATTGGACAGACAAGGAATTTGTCTTTGGTGCATAAGCTCTCAATGTACATAAAGAAAAAAATAAAATGCATTCATCAAGAATCATAAGATACAACACTTAGTGATAGTCATAGGTTACTAATAAGCAATCAAATCATACTAAGGAACAATTAAAACAATAGAAATTGTAAACATACAAGCAACACAGTTATAGTTATAAGTTGGAAGAGATAGGTAATAGGAAGGATGAGAAGAAGAATAGTAATACAGTCTTAATGAATAGTTTGACAGTGTTATGGGAATTAGTTTCTTGAATATTATACCAGTCGCAGATTGGAAGTCAGTATTTCCCAAGATAACTTCTAGCCTTACCTTTCATTGCCTGCATAGAGATATTCAGCTGTTGAGTTAGGATCTGGTCATTGCTTTTAATTTATTGTATGAATGTTTTGCACATCGTGACATCACAAGGACATATGGAAAGGACAGAACTTGCATCAGGATGGCCCAAAGATGTTATTATCCCTTTAACTAAAGCTCTAGAATCTGAGGCTGCACCTGTCATGATTAATAGTTATTTAGCAGTCCTGTAAAACTTCAGTAACCATGACAAAAAGTGCTCTAGGAAATAGTGACACACAAGCAATAAAACAGCAGGAAAACATTGCAGCAAATGATAACTTTCAGGACTCAGAACAAGAAGGCGGGTAAAGTTCAAATGTGCTAATTGTATGCACTTGAAAACAGATTCTGTGGAGAGCTGAGAGAAATGAATAGTTTTCACAGCAGAGGCTAAGATAGAAGTTACATTTGAAAAGCAAAAACTGTGTTAGGAGTTAAAACTCAAAAGGGGATGGTGAAGTTAAATAATAAGCTGAGGTTTAACTGTTCTTTTGTGATAATGCTCCAGATTTGTTTTTGACATTCAGTAAAAATCTTCTTTCTATGCTTGTCATTCCCAGCCATAGAAATGGAAAACAATCAGCCTAAACTGCACTGTATTTTGCACCCAAGGCACAATTCTTTGATCAAATCTTGGAACAGCTTTTCACTGGTTTTTTAGCTGGAAAAGTGGCTGAAGGAGGGTTGAACTATTATTCAGCAGCACATAGGGATGTACTTATGTACTCTATGTTCTACATGTTTGTATATACATAGCAACCCATAAAATTCAGAATTCAAAAATCCAAATAGTCTACAACTATATCTCTCCTCTATTTTGGACTTTTTCTTCATATTTACTTCACTAGAAGGATATTAATTTATTAAAAAATATTAAGTATTCCGTTCTCTTTTTTTAATTTTGTAGATTCTGCTGAGCTTGTTTGTTGCTGTTATTCTAGACAACCTGGAACTTGATGAAGATCTAAAGAAACTTAAACAAGTAAGGTTGTTTGTGTTGGATGTGATTTATACCAAAGTTGTACTATATATGCATTCACTTCTCTCTTGAAAATGTAGATTCCGTCTTCAGAAAGTAAAATAAGAGCTGGGTATTATGTACTAAAGCTTGATATGCCTAAATATTAAAGTTCAGTTGGAAAGGCAGGGGAAGGATATCCTATGATTATATTCGTTGAGAATTAAAGAACTCATTTTCAGTAGTATTTAGCACAATATTGTATCGTGTTTGTCAAAATAATTCCTTGAGAATCCAGGCAAGAGTATCACCTCACATTTCCTGAGAACAGTAACCATGGTGCACATGGAAGGACAGACTGTGGACCTGCCTGAGCAGATTGCAAATACCAGTGCTCCTTCCTCCCGCTCCCTTCTTGGCCCTCCCTCATCATCAGGATCATTTAACTGCCAATCAAACATCAACATTGGGAACCAAGAGCGAATAAGACAAGATGGCTGCCCCGGAACTCTGCAGCTGCAGGATTCATGAGGAATCCCTTGAGCAGAGTCAAGGCCCAAGAATAAAAATAAAACCAAAATCTAAAGAGACAGCAATTTCCTAAACATTAAGGAAAATAAATTAGGGTTTGAACTGAACAAATCACTATAAAATATAACATACTACCAAAACAAATATTCATATCTATACCTTGCCCTTGACAGTTATGATCCCAGAATAACAGATCTTTTCAAGTTATGCCTAACATGTTTATAGTGAGATAGATATGAGACTGGAGTTTTAGTCATTCCATCCTCAAATATTTGATATCAGACATTAAGCAGAGCCTTCTAAGAAATTGAATGGTAAGAATAAATCTGAAGTTTGCATGCTTTTTCTTTTGACTGGCCCCAATTCCCATTGCATATTTAAATCCTAGGATCAATGAAATGGTACTTTATTTCATAGAGTTTGGGTTTTCACAGCCGGTTTTTATTGATGGAATAACTTGCAGGTAATGCCACTTGAAAAAGCAAACAGTTTTTTATTTTTATTTTATTTATTTATTTATTTTGTCAAGTGATTATAAGATAACAGGTATAAGTACAAACATAGTTATGAATACATGAAATGGATACATGTAAGAAAATTTTTAAAAAGAAACAATAGGACAGGGATGGTAGGCACGTTGGTGCACTTATGCACGCCCCCTACAGACCTCTTAGGAAGGGTGAGGTCAATAGTAGACAGTCTAAGGTTACAGTTTTTGGGGGTTGGGGAAGAAACCAGATATTCCAGATATTGACCACTTTGTTGCTGAAGTCATATTTCCTGCAATCAAGTTTGGTGCGATTTACCTTGAGTTTGTATCTATTGTTTGCTCTTGTATTGCTATGGTTGAAGCTGAAGTATTCATTGACAGGTAGGGCACTGCAATGTATGATTTTATATACTTAGATCGGACCGAAGGCGGCATAGTTCTCGGTTTTCTAGGTCTAGAATTTTGAGTCTGGTGGCATAAGGTATTCTGCAACGAGTAGAGGAGTGGGGAACTCTTCTTGTGAAATATGGCTAGAGAAATGTCAGTGGTTATTCATCGTTTCACACAGCATTATTCAGTGCTTTCTGAAGGCTTGTGATCTTCAAAGTGCATTATAACATCATGATACAAGCTCAACTTTTCACGATGTCAAAATGCATGTTTCAAGATTTGCTCTCTTTACCCCTCTCCTGAGGACACCTGTGTCGAAGTCATTAGCCACTTTTTTTAATATCCAGATGAAATTCTTTTTGGAAAGATCTGTCCTCATACCTCTCTTCCTATTAGTAATATATATTGATGACTCACATTTTTTCTTACATTTCTTACATTTTTGCAATTTATGTGCTGCAGTACCTATAATCATGTGCAACAACTTCACCATCATGTAAACAACATTTTTCTCTGTATATATTAGCTAATTTTAGTTAATAATTTTTTCAAAATATTTTTTTAATTTTTTATAAGTGCGCACAGATCTGACATACAATCTATATATATAAAAGCAAAATACCACTCACGCATCATCACAAAACCTCCAGAACCGTAAAGCCTACAAACTTGAAATTTGGCACGTATGTTCCTCCTGGCTTCTAGATGCTCACTAAGAAAGGATTTTTTGAAATGACCATCAGAGCATTAATATTTCCTAAATTATTATTAATATGCTCTGATGCTAAGGAGTTCTACTCCCCCTCCCCACCTGAAAAGAAATCTGTTCCAAATGCAAAACACAAGCAGAGGAGAGGAGTTTCAGTTTTAGTTTCACAGCAGCAACCAGCTTTACTACGGAACAGTTGAGCTAATCCATGCCCAGGCTGCTTGCTTGTCTCCTTGCTCACACAGCAAATACTCTTTCACGTTCCAAATAGCCCTCAACTCTCTCACACACTGACAAGATGCTAGCCAGATGAATACCGATAGATGCTGGTAGGCAGAGACAGAATTTTTTCCCTTTATTTTCCTCCCCCAAAACTAAGCCCAACCACATAGTTTCATAGCAAAGCACAGGTATTGAGCTAGTAATCTTATATTTTCCAGTATGGTTGTCTTTTAAGCTTTTCCATTTTTTATAGTTATCATTTTCTACACACACGCACATAGAATAGAATAGAATAGAATAGAATAGAATAGAATAGAATAGAATAGAATAGAATTCTTTATTGGCCAAGTGTGATTGGTCACAGAAGGAATTTGTCTTGGTGCAAATGCTTTCAGTGTACATAAAAGAGAAGATACATTCACCAAGAGTCAAGAATCATCAGGTATAACAATAATAGTCATAAGGTACAATAAGCAATCAAATCATACACATACATTCAAGTTGCTTAGTGACTCTGTCTGATACCCTACCAATGTGTAAAATTAGACTCAACACTGTACGTGGCTCAGAATAAGTTGAAACAAACATAGCCACAGCTGCCAGTAGAAGAATACATTGTTTGCATGTATAAATTCCCCATTTCTTAAAGTATTGTAGATACTAGAGTTAGGAAACAGCTGAGTTGAAGTTTGGTCCTTAAAAACTTCCAGAGTCCATCATAGAGGGATCTAGACTCGCTGTTCTGACCTAGGCTTCCCCAATAAGCACTAAGCAGACTTTTTGTCCTGGCAAAACCCCTTTTATTAAATGAAGGTGACTTTCTTGCATTCACATTCAGCCAAAGGCCTGGCAAACAGTCTTTCAAGGGTCTAATTATAAGCACAGACCTTATCTAGCCTGCAGAGCTGCCAAGTAAATATTTTCAAACGCAATGCTGACAAGGAAAGGTTTGGCACAGAATCTCTGAGACTCTGCTGCAACAAACGAATGAACGAACAAATTGTTTCCTACAAAAGCCCCCTCCCCTTTTGCTCCTCTTTTAATCCCTATGGGAGGGGCCATTCACTGTTCACCTGTGGCCTTACTCCCACATCAACTGTTATTTTCTTCTGGCAGCTCTGTGCATGCGCAGGCTGGGAACTGGCTCTAGCTGCTCCCCCACCTCACTGCTATCCGACTCTGAAGGTAGCTGATAACTGGCATCCTGCCCTGGCCCCATCTCTGCCTCTGATGCAGAGTCCTCATCTGAGCCTTCCTCAGCCTCCAGGACTGGCCCAGGTTCCTCCACAACCTCCTCACTGCCCGACTCTGCTGCAAGCTCTGTTAGCCGACAGCAGGCCACAACACTCACTTCTAGTGGGGGGCAGTTCTATTATGTTCTTCTATTGCACTTTCTTTCTCTGTAGATGAATATAAATATAACCAATACCATTTAAGTCTTAGCCTTCTCTTGTTCAAAAATTAGCTAATCACAAATAAGTGCCACCTTTGGAATTTATATACCATTAGCATAGAATGTGTCAGTTTCCTTCAGTTTGATTCCTATGCGCAAACAGGGATGTGTTCTTTATATGTACAGGGCCTGATTGTCAGATAATAATAAAAGTGGACTTTTAGCCTACTGCAGTTATGCAGACGCTTTCCCGTATAAACAAATAGGCCACAGCTATGTCATGACAGATGGGTATCAATAAGCAGTGCTCTCGGAACAAGGAAATGAAGTGACAGGAAAGGTTATCTGTTGGTGGCTTGCTGAGGGTGGAGCGGGGGTGACAGTTTTGCTGAAGAAGATGCCAAATACTTTTGAATGAATGGGGAGAAAGTACAATAAAGAATATACCATCACCATAGCTTTTCAAGTTTTATTAGCAGATGTGACATAGATAGATTTTTATGGTCTTTTTATGATCTCCTTCTGTTAACAAATACTGAAGAGACTCACTTTTCCCCCTTTCTCAAACCTTCCAGAATTTAGGGACTTTGCCACTTTGGATTCCATAATATTTCTCTGTTATAAGATTTTGTATTATTTTACTGGAAGTCAGTCCTATTGGATTGAATAACACTTACTGTGGGTAAAGACACTGCCAGGATGTGAAATCATTGAAGCAACTTAAATGATTCAGAAAATAATTGAGTGTGTAGTAAGTGTCTCCTTGCAGAACTCTCATCCCCTCCACTATCTCCAGGGATAAAAGGAAAAGGGCTTTAGATAATAGTTATTAGTGAATAGCGAACTTAAGTGGGAAACCTGAGATTGTAAGATGCTTTGCTGGTTGTTTTTTGTTTTGTTTTTTTACTTCAGCACAAAATAAATGCACCCAGCATCATCCTACTGGGTTTTAGAACATTATAGTTTTCATTCTCATGGAGCAGAATTCTTAATGTATTTCTTTGGGGAAATCTTTTCTTGCTTATGAATAGAAAAACAAACAATTTTATGAAGTACGGTTTATCACTTAAGGGTGCTGAACTAATTAAACCATATCCTCACATAAATCTTCAGAAATTAAATTCAAGTGCATACTTAAAAGTGAACTGCATGGTTTAGCAAAGGATAAATTTCAAATTGTATTATTGTAATCACTTAGGAAGTTGTAAATAGTCTACCGGCAATACTGTCATTTTGTAAAACTCCATAAAGAATTTCACAAGTATCAATCTAGTATCTATTTCAGTATT